TGAAATCACAGAAAACAATATTAAAAAGTTACAGTTTCTATCACTATCTCATAGTTGATGTGGGGGGAAGGAGAAGGGTAAAATCCTTTTAGCTGCAGTGCGACAGTCTCCAATATGAGTGAAATGTTAACATTGATTAAGTCTCGATTTTTCTTCTGTCACAAGCTGCACATGGGGTGTCCAGTTTTTCTTTTCACATGCAATGTATATATAAAAAAAAATAAAATAAAAAAACAAGTGCCTCAAAAAGATGAATTCAAGGTAAAACACAAAGAGAAGTATTGTCCTTACCACCTCTGAACCAATTTTATCATTATGTGTTTAGAGGATGAACGAGGCCGTGGAGAACTGAATGTGAAAGGAGACAAAGGCATAAAGAACACATTCAGCACACGACAAAGTGCCAATCACTCAAAAATATGAACATACTATGCATCAAACTTACACAATTTATCACGTAATCAGAGTATCATGTTTGGTGTGCATTAGTATTGTTTCGAAAGAGGTGAGCTGGCAATCAGCCAAAGCAGCTTGCTTTTCATCAGCTGTAACATGAAGTGATGCTAGCAAGGCATTTAAGTGTTAAAAATACAATGTTCCCATAGCACCATAAAAGAGCACCTCGCACTGCTTGCTAAGAACCTCAAAAGGGATTTTCTAAGGGTATTACATAGGATAAACCAACATTTAAACTTCTCTCCAAAAACTTGCCTTCAGTGTAACGGTCATAGCTGACATTGTTCCTTGTGAAAAGCACAGTTGTGTAAAGTATGTGGTGTAAAGAAATGTTGCCCTTGTTCTCCAACAACCAATTATGCAAACGCAATTAGATTTTATTCAGACTACCGCATCCATAACCTAAGAGTAACTTATATAAATATATCTTATGACTTTACATTTCATTAAAGTCGTCAAGGCACAAAACAAAGCGAACAATGTACGCCCTGGTTTCCTTAACATTGGTAAGTCTCATTATAGCAGCTATTCAATTAAACGTTTTAAGTCTTTAATGGTGGATTACTTACATGAAAACATTTAGCAAACTTGGAACAGGGCGTTATCATTTTAATTAAAACGCAGTTAAGCCAAGATAAATGGATGAGTCTTTGTGTGATACTTTTAAAGCAATCTGGACAATAGTGTAAACCCAACAAGGTAGTTAATCCCCGTTTATGCTCGGGTCCAAGGTTAAATAAATCTTCCGCACGACAGCATTTCATTTTCAGTAACTACAGTCTTACTCATGTCAACATTAGCTTTTCCAATAACAGGAATTCTGTCACTTGATATGAAACATCTGTTTTCCCTGTTGGAAAGTACAGACATGCCAACATGTTTATCCTGTTTTCTACTACTTATTCAGTAATAACTTTTACCATCGTATAAATCTTTAAAATAGATTTTGCAAGAAAAAAAAAACAAAACAGATGTGAACACACCCCAGATGTTCTGCTGGAGCCTGATGGCTACTGAGGGTGTAATGAAAACACTTTCATCTCCAAATGTGGCTACTAAACATCATCTGACGTACCGCACAACCACCAATTCAACGTAGTGAACGCACGCCACCTCGTTGGATATATCAACAGAGTTCCCTAAATTCTAAGATTACGCGTGACCTTAAAAAACAGATAATGTGAAGAGCAACAGTAGAGAACAGAGGCATACTTGGGAAACCAGTTGAGGCCGAGATGCTCCGTCTTGGAGAAAAGAATCCGGTCGTACAGCTCGTACAGCGGTCTCCAATTCAACTGAAGGTCCTCCCTTGACAGTAGCTCCTTTTTCCTGTTTGATGAATCAGACAGATACATGAAAAATAAAAGCTCATCATACAGAGACAAAATGTGGGGGAAAAAATCCAGAATATTACACAATGTGTTATCAACGGTGAGTCTGCAGCCTTTTACCATCTTTAATTTAACTTTAAATACAAAACAGACATGTGTACAAGTCGTTGTGTCAAAACAGATGGGGGGGCGCATTCTCACTTGAGGAGGTTGATGAGAAGCCGAGCAAGGCCCTGCATCATGCTGATTTCCAGCTTGGGGATGGTCACTAGCTCATAGAGCAACTTGATGAACAGCACATGGTCTTCTTTGCTGAACTTCCGCCCATACAGTCTCATGTACCTGAACAAGAAGTACAGATAAGTTTCAACATGCGTGAGTGGTCATAGCCCCTGGGGGCGGCACAAACAAACACAAAAGGTGTAAAAAAAATAAAATAAAATACGACATGTAACAAATTCAAGGCAATCCAAATTAAATAACACAAGTGAAACTGAATATGCGTCGTTGAGACCTTTGAAATGTGGCACTACAATATGTTTATATCACTGTTAATATGCGGAAATACCAGTGAACAGAATCTGGGTCAACCCTACGGTAAACTTTCCATCTCTCTGAGCCGGCAGTGACTCACTCTTGGACAGAGCCATGCGCCAGCATTGGGGACTGAAACGGATTAAAAACAGCCCAGCAACCAAGTACAACAAAATGAAACAACACTCGAAAGTAATCCACAGACATATTGACAATATTTTTACTGGCGCAGTGTGATTCATTGGGAAATAACTGCCAGATAAATGCTAAATGGGGGTGAAATGTAATGCAGGAATCTTTTTTTGGGGGGGGGGGATTAGTAACGTTTACATGAATAAATATGACTTGACTTGTCAGTTTAGGCAGTAAACTTTTTAACAGATACTAAAAACAAAGTTTACTGCAAAACCAGAAGGTGGATGTAAAGAAGAATCTCTTGAAGCAACTTTACAGGAAACTCCTGAGCACACAAAACACCAAATGATTTCTATTTTTACACATCTGGTATATGGTCACCTGACAGGTTGCATCAAAAAGAAAATGTCAAAGCCGGAACCAGCGACAATGACAATGACCTTAATGTTATACTGCCTGGGTCAGGTTGTCAATTTGACACCCTGTTATGAAACCCAGACCGTCTCTAATCAAAAACACTGGGGAGTTTGTAGTGTAGAAGTTAACATCTATGGTTAGTTAACATTTTAAATAACCCATAAACACAGGCTCTGCCCAACAGAGAAGCTAACAGGAGAGTTTCAGGGGCCAGCCATTGATCAGACAGCTGCAACAAGAACAAACAGTCAAAAATACACCAGAGAAATACCGCACAATGCGTTATATCGTTACACAAAAGTTTGGTTACTTCAAGAGGAGGCAACAACTGTTAATGTGACGCCAGGATATCAAAGATTAGGGCTACTTACGTGGAAAGTTTCCTCGTCCAAAACAGCACACCGGGCCATATCTCTCTCAGCTGAACAGCTCGGCCCAAATTTCCTTTAATTTTACCCAAAATATCATTGGATTCCTCGTCTAACCTGTCCGCGTACGGCAGAAGTTTGTTGTACACGATGTCTTTCTGAGGAGCAAATCCCAATGTGTCGGACCGTGCTTTTTTCATATTACCAAAAAAAAAAAAAAATTCAAACAGCTAAGTTAGCTAGCTTTTCACCACGCCAGCAGAGATTTTCACGGTTGAACTTCGTCCCGGTGCACGTTGTTTATCCGACTAACACACCGACTAGCGACGTCCGCAGCTGGCTGTCCTCTCGGATGAACCGTCAGGGGTTGCTATGGCCCGCACAGTCACTTAACTTAACAACTTGGTCACACGCTAGCTGGCCATGTAGCTTAAGTTAGAGTCCGCTTCACGCAAAACATTCACATTATCAGTGTCCTCGTATATAATTATTAACGAAAAACAGTTTACAGTTTGTCCGGGGGGGGGGGGGGAGGGAGGAGGGGAGGGCGCTCTTTCGGCTAACGTGGTCCTAAAGAAACCCTGGCAACCAGCTAACGGTCGGTCTAGCTACGGTTAGCTCTCTACTACAAAAGCACAGTCATAACCCAACGGCTGTCAACGTCGACTGATTCATCCAACTGCGGCGACGCAGACGGCCGACGACACCCAGCTACGCGCTACACAACGCCGCCGTCATATCCGCTGGCTTCCGGCTGTACTACACTTCCCAGCATGCCCCCCTTTCCATTCATGCTTTTTATAAACGCTTATCCGTTAGCCGCTTGAAATCCACTTAGGAGCTCGTGTCCTCAGGTGTGTTTTCTGCCGCCGTTAAGTTGTTGTTTGTTGTAGGTCAAAAATAACTAATCTAAAAGTATTTATTACTTTTACCGGACATTTTAACGGTGATTAAGTATTAGTGAATGATTTAGTAACTGTTACTAAATGCCACAGTAATCCAAAATGTACTATCGTATCTATCTAAACGTATCTATCTTAACTTAATATAATTATTTTTTTATTTTTTGTCTTCCAAACTGAGTGACGTGTTTTATAGGATTTGTTTTTACATTATTTAATTCTGTTATAATATTATTATTATTTGCTTTTTTATTTTATTTTATTTTTTTCTTCCAAACTGAGTGCCGTGTTTTACAGGATTTTTTCATTATTTTATTCTGTTATAATAATAATAATAATATAATTATTATTATTATTATTATTCGCTTTTTTATTTATTTATTTATTTGTTTATTTATTATTGTTGATTTTTAATGAATGAATAAAAACTAAGATTATTACTACTCATTCATGGTAATCAGGGATTGTGTGTCCACGATTGAGAGTACAGGCAGTAATGTGACGTCATGTGAAAACAAGCTGAACAGTGACTGCCATCTTGCGGTCAAACGCAGAGGTACAAGAACCAAGAGCCCATGAATGTAATAGTAGAGAAGTCCCACTCTGACCATATTTAGAGACACCACTGCGGCAAACAGTCCATGTCCGTCAAAAACGTCTGAATGTGCCGCTTACTTTCATAGAAGTGTGGTGTTCAGAGATTTTTAAAATAACTTGGGTATGAAATAAACTATTTGAGAGGCAGGCATATTTACCTGACCAATATTAGTTTATTTTTTTAAACATATGTGTGAGACGTCTCTTTTGTCATAGACAATCTGTGGTACCGGAAATTGATTTGGTGTGGTGTCCTAGCAACCTGCAACATTTGTCCACCTGAAACTCCTGCTGTCCGTCTCTTCCTAACGTTATCCGAGCAAAAACACAACTTTAATTCAGCTTTAACTGTGATTGACACAAAAGCTGAAAAACTTCAGGTTGAATGGGAATTAATTAGCGTTAATTAGCGTTAGCAAAGATGATTGAAAAGCTGAGTTTGACTAGTGACAGACTGCTGTCACACCGGCAGCTCGCCTGTCGTCACTCTTACTGTGGCCTTCCACTGCATGGCAATGAAATGTTAATTTACAGTAATATGGACTTAGAGCTGCAGGTTTGTTAACAAAGTGTTGTTAGTTGTGTGCAAAAAAAAATACCTTCCAAGTGTTATTTTAAGAATGTCATTAATGAGCTAGAAAGTATGTGTTAGTTACACTGAGTCTGTAGATTTAATGTACATTAATGCAAACCACAGTGACTCCTAATTGCAAACGACTTCTTTGAAATTTAAGTATTATCTGGTCCCGTAACAGCCCTTTTTTCTACATTAGTATTTTTAACATGGCCTGTGTAATTTGTATAGACTCACTATTCTGTATAAATAAAATGTACAATGTAATATAAATATAGATTTTAGGTAGGGAAAGAAAAGATTGATATGTCACAATGCTGTGTTAAATGGTAATCGCATCCTGTATGGCCTCAAGCTTAGTTTGCCCTGCTCACACAGGAGCCACAAACAGATTTATCATAATGTATTTTCTATGTTTTTGTCCACAGCCACTGCTGCTAACTGGCCACCATGGTGAGATCAGTGCCATGACTTTTGGAAAGGGAAGCAGACCTGTTCTCCTCTGCTCTGCCTCTGCTGATTATATAATTGTCTGGGATATTGAACTATGCCAGAGGAGAACACAGGAGGGTGAGGACATAGTTCTGCATGTGCTTGTGTGTGTGCAGTGCAGTAAAGAGTTGCTCCCGTGGTCAGAGTATGGTCTTCAACAGTAGTTTAATTCAGTGTTATTTATTTTAATGCACATTAAACTAGAGAGTAGGGCTGCACGTTACAGTAAAATCAGATGCTGCGATTGCAATATGATTTGCAATTAGTGTGGGAATGATAATTTGTACTCTACCAATTAAATTTTCACTGAAAAAAAACTATTAAAATCATGATGATGTGAAATGTTTTGGGGTTTGTACCAAACAAACATGTTGTCTTAAATCTGGAGAACAAGGTTTGTAGGCCAGGGCATCTCTTCACAACTACAGTATTTCATTATAAGGCTGTTACACATTTTACAATTATCAAAAACTTGAAGCTTCTGCGATTTATTGCACTTGGCCATATTGCAATTTCGGTAATATTGCGATTTAGTGTGCAGCCCTTCTAGAGAGGACGCCTTTGCACATGTTGCACTGAGAGTATGATCATTTTCTCGAGTGAAAACCTTTACAAGCCTGCCATCTAGTGAAATATTTAGGGCATAGGTAACTTTTGTCTACTGTGTTCTTCTACTTCTTTTGTTTTGAATATGAACAGACTTAATTGTTGGTTTGCAGGTAAAGTTGCAGCTGGAACAGTTATCGGGACTTTACTGGGTGAAGTCATCCATCTTTCATTTTGTTCCTCTGATGAACGAGTGGCTGCGTGCTCAGGAGCAGCTGTACATATTCTCAGCTCAAAGGTAAAGCTGCACAGAATACATATGGGCTTATGGGTTGGCTCGATATATTACTTTCTATTGCTGAAATGGATTACAAATAACGTGCTTTGTTGTGGTTGATTTATTGGATGTATGTCACGGCGCATCTCTATTAAAATATGTATAATGTTGTTTCTTCCTGACGGTTTAGTAGCCGTCAAAGGCCATCATTTATCTTATCCCCGTTATATTGTTGTTTCCCACATCAGAGACATGAAGTGATCTCTACCTTGACCGGCCACCTCGGACCTTTAACATCAGCAGAGTTCTGTCCCTGGAATAAAGACGTCCTTGTCACCACGTCGGAGGATCGCACGTTTAAGGTACTGACTTGATCAAATGATAGAGCCACAAGTTTTTATCATACTTCTCGTACACACAACAAATAATACCAAATATTACACACGCTGTAATAACTGTAAAGTACCTGTCTCTTTTCAGGTGTGGGATTTAAAAATGGAAGCGGTGTGCTATCAGTCTTTTGTGCTTACAGGTATGATATTACTATTTACAGTCTTATTGGAGCAAATGAATTACCCTTTCTGAATCCTCCCGTTAAATTTGTACAGTAGACGTGGTAACATCGCAAGTATTAGTGGGATTTACAAAAATCAGAAATCTCGGAGGCTTCGCTTAATGTCAAGGTCTTCATCAGGTCTGACCCTGATTTCCTGTTTTTTGTATACCTTCACCTGCCTAACCTGCACCTGTCGGATCAGCCACCAGAGCCATCCTTCCTCTTTAAGTATTAGTGGGATTTATTTGAAATCAGGATCTGTTTGTGTTTAATCAGCTACAAGTATCCAAATATAGGCGTCAAGGCTTATCTTTAAGCACGCGTAAGTCAGTCCACGTGCAAGCACTTTAGGGCTGCACAGTATAATGTAATGCAAGTTGCATGATAAAAATTTGATTGTGATTATTTTGACAGCAATTATGGTTGCATTATAATTCATGATTATCCAGAATGATCATGTTTGCATCACAGTTTTCATTTTCACTGAAAAAACAGTTACCTTTATCAAAAGATTTCAGATGAAATGAAAATGGTATTGCCTTGCAAAATGATTGAAAATATCATATTCTCTACCAACATACCTAAAGCAAATTCTTCAATTCTGTAGCCTCTCCACTGCTCAGTGTGTTCTTCTTGGAGGAGAACAGGCACCTTATCACCGGTTCAATGGATGGACAGGTTAGTGACCAAAAGCACACAGCCGTTAACGGCTCACAATCACTATCAGAGACTGAAATTCCTAAAGCTGTGTAACATACCTGTATCTGTTGGGTTTAGGTGTGGTGCTTTTCTCTCCCTGATGACCACAAGTGTCACCTAGTGACTAAAATGGATCTTCAGAAGATGGAAAAAAGACATCAAATGCACCAGTTGACATTGAGCCATGAAGCTGGTGATGACTGATCTCTCCAACAAACAGTGCCTATACCTCTTTTCACCCACCTGACTGAAAGAGAAACTGATTGATATTTTCTTCCAGGGGTCGCAGAACAATCAGCTGCAGATAAAGTGGAGACTTCAAAACCTGTCCTCAAAATGGCGTTATGTGACTCATTCACTGACACCAGTTATGAGGATAAAAAGTAAGTGAACAAACTCCTGAGCAATCATAAACAGTGAGAAATGTTTATAGTAGGTATATGATGTCTGGCATTTTGGACAACCTCGGGACTCACTTGTTGGGTTAGGCTTAGGGAAATGAAGGAGGTTAGCCTAGTTCACACAGAAGACTCCTGACTCAGCACTGGGCTAATGGCTATCAGATGCCCTGTTTATCTGAGATAACATCTGTTTATTGTTGTCTGACTTACTGTAGCATTTCCATTGAATTGGCAGGCCTAGATAAGCAGCTACAAAATGGATGGATGGATCTTATTTAAGAACTATTCACTTCATTAATTAGTCACGTAGAAGCACGAGTGTCAGCATAGAGACTATTCTCACTCTCAAGTACTCAAAGTGGATTGATGGACCATATAGTGTGACGTTACCATGAGGAAGAACTGTTTTACCTAATTTGTGACAAGAAATCTTAATGCTGAAGCAGGACATGGTGCTGTCAACACTGTGGCCCATGGCCATTCTCAAGGGCTCAATATTGTTCTTATTTTCACAAGGTAAAAATTGTACGTGATCCAGGAAAATCTTACAAAAGCAATTCAAACGCAGTTGTCATGAAAAAAAAACAATAAGTAGCTGCACATTTCTGCCATTAACACTATATAGATGTCATACTGTCACAAAAACCTTGGAAAAAACGCCACATCTTTATGGGCTAATTGCTGCACGTGTCCACGCAGTCACAGGAAACTTCACACATCACAGGAAACTTTGCAGGCTCATAGCATAAACTGTTTCAGGCTGTTCAAACATCTGATGTTATGACAGGAAGCAGGCACTTAAAAAGCACAGACATAACTCTCTGTGTATTTTGTGGACCACTGGAATGAAATGGACGTTGATTCCTCATTGCTCAAAGCAAAGCACATGATCTCAGAGGTCCATCATCTCTACTCTTGACCCAGACAGACGTTTTAGCACACAACCACTGTTTTTACTGGCATCCAAATGATGGGCTTTAACAAATCAAACAATTTTGCATAGGTGTATTAGGGGATAAATATGCAGCATGGTATGAGTATATATTATCAGTGCATAAGTAGGAGTAAAAAATTATTCTGATCTTTCAAATTAGTCTTTGTTTTTAAAACAATAATCTCTTTCTCCATTAAATAATGTGACGTTTTCACCTGAGCATTTGACGTGTCATCTACTTTTGTGTGGGTCTTTGTCATCCAAACATTTATAGCACCTTTATCCAAAATACTAACAGGTACATTGCTAATGTTAGTATATCAAAGCCACTAAATTCAGATGCTGGCACGCCCTAGTGGAAGAATCAAAAACAACACTGTGGTGTACAGCAATGTAACGCTGCTCATTTCTTTGTAGAAACATACAAACAGTGCAATAATCACGTAAAAATCCACACATAATGGCCTTAATTGTCTCCATCCTGGACAAAGCTCATGCTCAGCATGAAAATAATGATGCACTAACATGTAAAACCTGTCTAACAATAACATAACCTCAGCATGAAGCTCAGTGCAGGAAGTGGATAAAAAGGAACCATCAGACTCAACTTCCTCTCCTTTCTACTCTGTGTGGCAGTAGTTTCCATCTTGCTGGGTGTACATAGTTTAGACTACATGAAGTCAAAGGGAATCCGAATAAAAACCTACTGTATAGTCCTATGGTGTGCATGCCTTCCCACTCCATCACATCAGTATGTTTTTCTATAGTATGTGGTTACACTGTCTTTCCCCAAATGAGCTGAAAAAATGCTTTTGAGGGAAATCCTGTAACTCTGTTTTTCCATATGTTTCTCTGTGGGCCCTGCAGGGACAACAGCTGGTTATGTGTTGGAAGCTCTGATGGCCTGTATGTGGTTGATCTGGCTACCTCAGAACTCCTAACAGCACTATATTTCAAAGGTAGGCTGCTGCTGCTGGTGGTGGTGGATTGCTAGTGTACTGCTGTAACATGTTTAAGCATTTCTTTCACAGTGAGAAATTCTATTAGATTATTTTTATGAAACGTGGTGATTGATTTCAAACTATAAAGGGAATTTGCTTCTTCTTTCTGTTTTACCTATCCTCTCTGTTTTGACATAGGATAGTAAAGTTTATTTCGGGAGAATGACATGACCTCACTATTTTTGATGCCAGTTTCTTTGCATAATTTACAGCACCTGATACATACAAACTGGAAACTGAAATCAACTAAACCCATGACTGATGTTCATTCTTCTAGATTACCCCAACCTGAGCATCACAATGGCTGGGTCGTGGTCAATCTCTCCAGGGTGGTGTAACTCTGTGAGTAATTCCAATATTATCTTGATAAACCAGAATAAGACCAACTATATGACTAACTATATGAACTATATACAAGATTTGAAAGCAATGATGTGTTATAGTGCGGTGTGAAAGTTTAATGTTGTCTACAGTTGTTTTGTTATTTTATTCATGTTAATTCATTTTTGAATTCCTTGTCACACAGATGGTGTTTTTAGTGAGCTCTTTGTTTACTCCATGTGTGGCCCTGTTGGAGTTACGCCTGTGTGACCTAGGGAGGATCTGGGCTTGTGGTGAAGGGTTTTCAGTGTTCCCGAGGTAAACCTGGAGTTAAAGGCAAATGTTTGGTGACACTACAGTATGTTGACTCCCGAGAGGACAAATGGTCCTTTTTACTTTCTCCCTTCAATATAGAGATCAAAGTAAATCATCTCCATTTGTAAAAAGTCAGCATCTTGCGAAGGGACACTTCAGCCTGGCAAAATCTTATACTGTATACACAGGAGCTGGAACCCAGGTTCTGCTAGTATTCTGCTAGTCTGTAATTTGTTGATTCAGTGGCAATTATATTATTCTAGATCATGAAACAAAAGACAAAGGTAGAAGAAAAGTTGCTTCTCTGTAGCTCAGATAATAATTTGGTTCCAGCCTGGATATGCTCTGCTCAGTGAATAAATAAACTCTGTGAACATTTTTTATATGTCTAAGCTTTTAAATCCACATGAGTTTTAATAAAGCTGTCCGTACTGGATGTACTCCGTAATCCAAAACATCATACTTATTACTCTCACAATAACAACGCTTTTGAAATGCCAACTGTTTTTATTTGTCCTCTGGGGGGAGAATGAAATTCATTCAGGTATTACCTGTACCTCCATAAATGATTATTTAGCAAAATCCAGCAGCACCAATAAATAGTGATAATTGAAATAATAATAATGTGTGTCTGCTTTAACAAATGTGCAATTTATGAGCTGAAGCATAATCATGTCAGGTTGTTAAAATTTGCAAAAATACTGCGGTTGTAGTCATGTTGCGTTCTCTCAGGCACTGGTCACCTGACCTCCCCAGCTATAAGACATATGAGTGGGGTCTGTTTTTTAGTTGGCCTCTTGCCTGTAAGTCCTTCTGACTCTGACATTTCCATATTAGCATGGCCTATTACAACCCTTTTTTGCCATCTGGTTTTTCATGAGTCAACAATATCATGGTACTGAGAATTAGAAGGACTAATAATCCACAACGGTGGAAAATGCTGTGCTCCTTCATTTCCAGTAACTCCCCCCATGTCACCCCTCCCTTGTCTTCAGTTCTCCTGCATTGCCTGAATCTCCTCTGAACGCTGAGTTAAAGAAGAAGGAACCCAACCATCCCAAAAAGAAAGGTCAGCATCCCTCTCGTCGTCTGAACACTCACTCACCTCTCACTTATGCTCATGCACATAAAATAAAAAAGGGAGCCACTGCTGTTTGATGACTCTTGGTTTTAAAAGTATGACCCATTTTACAGTTCTCTCCACGTCTGGCTAGTTGTCTGTTTTGCTTGGACACAGACGATTCTCTTAAATTATGCTTATTGTAGGTTTATAGAAAGTCTGTTTGGCTATTACAAGAGCTACTGAGAACGTCCTCATTATCTGTAAATATAGAGGATGGAAAAGATTCCATGCTTTGTGGGGGGCGTTGATGTGGCATGCGTTAGTAGATTCCTTTTGTCTGCCACATAGGCAGATACACTTTATTGAAAGGTTTTTTTGGGGAGAGTTTTACTATAACTATTACAAGGTTCTAAGACAGACAGAGGGTGTTCAATGTTGTACATGTTGTAAAACCCCTGAGGGAAATTGTCATTTGTGATTTTCAGCTATATAAATAACATTTGACTTGACTACTTCAAATTATGCAACACTTAGAGTACAACACATTTAGACTGATAAATATCTCACTAATTATCTCAGTTTGTTTTATGCTTGCTTCTTGCAGTAGCTGGATTCCTATGTAAAATTAGCCTATTTGTGGTTTTTTGGTGTACCATTAGGATTTGGCAGCTTGAAACTATTCAGTACAGTATACTGTGGTTTACATGTTGCTCTTACAGAGAGTTAGCGCTGAGAAAGCCAGTATTAGCCGGACTCCCCACAGCTGGAGTGAAGGGCGCTACCAGTGCCAGACTATGTAGGGGATCTTCAGGGGAGTCTAGAGGTGCTGCGTGACTGCAATGTCAGACCGAACACCACAAACATTTACGGACTAGTGAAAACCCACCATGCTGCCCGCCTTGCATCTCTGTATTCTTAAGGATATCTGCAGAATTATATACAAATTACACCATAAACCTCTGAGACTCCTGGAAAGGAAAATTGTAAGTCAAGCACAAGGCTGACAGAGCTTTTTTAAAGGAACTGTAAGTGTAGATTAGATGTCTGCTGTCATGTCATGCTGCCATGTAACACAATCATGAAGTGAACCAGGACTGTTGGCTTTTTGAGATGATGATAATTAGCTGTCAATACTTTCTGCATGATGTCTTTATCTCAAATGTAATGCCTAGGTCTTGTTGCCTGGAATTGTTTTATACTTAGGATATCAGGGGACTACTAAAGTACTAAAGAGCAATTTGATCTGAATGGGCTTTTTGAATGGTTTTCCATAGAAAGTGATCAATTCAGTAACAGTAAAAATAAAAATGCAGATGAAATTGAACAAACAAGTTAAT